GGGGGGGGGGGGGGGGGGGGGGGGGGGGGGGGGGGGGGGGGGGGGGGGGGGGTAGGTGATAAGCTTTGTTGTACAAGGCATGCCCCTCGTCGCGTGTCATTGGGGTGCCTGCCACGCTACGTGCCATGCACGAGAGCCATGTCTTTACCCCTTGAGATGTTGAAAGAGCTCGGCCAGCTGTCGAAGTTGAAAGGAGGTGTAATTCTTGATCGACACTCAGAGGCCATCAAAGAACATGTCAGTGCTGGCAACTGCCCACGAAGTCAGATGGGAGGCCATCGAGTCGGCGCAGGGGCGACGAAAGCTTTCCGACACCTCTTCCATTGTCGCACCCCCCAGTTTTTGAATTCAAGCGTCTAAACCCGCTGCTCTTGACAGTTCGTCGCTGCATGTGGAGCACTCGTAAAACTGAGATGGGCTGATTCGGTGAGCTGATCACTCGGCCGTCTCAGGAGCGTACCCGCCAACTTTACGACTACCGTGTGCATTTCGAGCTACATGTACATGTAGACTAAAGGAGCGCCGCATGAATGCCGTTGGACAAGCACAGCAGCAGTGAAGATGCGGGTGCGGTGGTAGGGTGGTGGGCTTTGCTTGGATCGCGCCGTACAGCAGGGAGGAGGTCCGGCATTCGAGAGGGGTGGAGGTCGCGATGTAGCAACGACGGGCGTTAGATAGAGCGGGGAGGGCAATCACGCCGAACGTGACCCTTGTGAACCTCTAAATTGTTCAACGTGTTTGCTCAGATTCATTTTTTCGGGCGATACGGCGTCTGTCTGTAATTTATTTACTCTACCCTATCGTGATATGCGGTACGTCAATTCCAGAGGTCTCTGTTGAGCGACGTTCAATTTATTATATACTCTGTTTTATGAACACGCTACTCTCAAGTGTCAGGCTGAATCCACCCAGAAAGGAGAAACGTCCTCCGAACGGGGCCTTCGGCGTAAACAACATATTCGCCTGATTGAGAGCGTAGCATCTGATTGAGAGCGAGATTGCGCGATACGCTTTAGCCGGACTACCACTGAGAGGTGGAGCTTGCTGTGTAGCTTGAATTGAAGGGCTAGCCCGTAGCTTCAAGCCGCTACCCTGGTCATCCTGTGGGAGTCTCTCGTTGTGGAGCTACAGCGGGGAGCAGAAGCTACAGCAGAGCCCACCGCCCGACGCGATACCGCCCTGAAACAGTTTGAGCAGAAATAGCCAATCTGGGCAAATCTAGCAACTTGTCTAGCTCCTCGCTGCAGCATCCGATGACGATGACACGCATATGCTCGCGAAGCTGCTGATGAGACCTTCAATTTGCACCGCTTCTTGGAATAGCCCGTCCCCTACTTGCCAAGAAATGGCAAGAGGCGTCTGGACCCGAAATTTCAATTTTTTTGGCTCTCGCTCTCAATCAGATACTTCGCTCTCAATCAGGCGAATATGTTGTTCGTAGTAATAAGAACAAGAACCCCGTGTATCATACGGATATGCCTGCTCGAAATAAGAACTTCAAAAATAAGGATAGGTGCTGAATTTGAGGTAGCCAATCAATAAGCATCGAGCCTTGGCCAATGTAAGCGGTTCTTAAGTGCGGGCGCCATCTGTACTATAATAGTGTCATGATGGCATTCAGCCACCAAGCGTTTCCTATGCGTCCTCTTAGCTGCATATTTTGTACAACTCGCATCGGTGATGACTGTGTGCTTGCATGGTTCATCGTCTGCTACTGCTGTACCACCTTCCGTTGCGCAAGCACAGAATGTATGGCGGTCGAACCTCGAAACAAACATGTCTCCGTCGAAACTACACGTCTCATGAGACTCGTCATTGGACACCTTGTACGAAGGGGGGGTAGTGAGCGGACCCGGCCAACGTGTGTTGGTCAACAGGGGCAAAGGTGCGGATTTTTGTACTCCGTGTATGCATATGTCCTGCAACTCGAAATTGCGAGAAAAGTTCAAAAGTTTTGTGGATCTTTTCTTTTACTTGATTTTAGTAAACCCCCCCCCGGCCCCCTCAGCGCCTCAGGAGGGGACATGACTGTCAGATAAAAAAAATCCCCGCACCTTTGGCGTAGTGACAGCGCGAAGTTTTTCTCTCGCTTCCGCTCCTGGCCTACTAGTGGATAGCGCTAAGTTCGTGTGTACACAGAGGGGAGAGAGTGCTCAACTCTTCTAGCATTAAGAATTGAAGGAAACGTACCGCAGGAGGGGAGGGTAGAGAGGGCCCTTCTGTGTGACCACGGGTTGGAGTAAACGTAAACGGCACTAGTCTAATGCAGTGCTGCGAGCGCTGGTTTGAAGTGAAGACAACAAAAAAAAAGCAGTAGATCTAGGGAGATTGTAGTTGCTGTGACCAGAGTGAGGGAGAACAGGGAGTGTATTCTACTTGGTTTCCTCGAAGACTCGATTAGTGATGGGAACTGCGTCACGCATGGATGTCGTGATCCACTCCTCTACGGTTGGGACTCCGGTTTACACTCGCTCCTCTCATACAAGACTCTCCCATTTCAGCCCTCACTGGCCAAGCTTCCTTTTTCCACAAACCTACAGGAATCAAGTGGCCTTACAGTACACCGTACACAGCACCCGCTGACGGGCAGATGCGTCCCGATGATGATGTGTTGATAGATTCAAACGACCAAGCATTACACCACGACCAGCCATCGCCAGCGATGGTATGGTACTGCTGTAGCGCGAAAATTGCAAGAACATTTGACATGTGTTCCACTTGTACTGCCACTGCCGGGTAGCTCTGCCACTGCTGCTCTCCACGGTTGTTGTTGTTGTTTCTCACATTAGCTCTAAAAAAGAAAGATTGGGAGCCCGTGGTCTCAAAACCCGGCATACACGACCCCACGAAGAAACAGAAAAAAATAGGGTACAAAAACCACTCGGAAGAGAAACAAAATGATAGAAAGAAAGACCAGCTACCGCACCAAACGAGAAAGAGCGTCGAGGAGACCGATCAAAATAAAACAAAAGGAGAACGGGGAACGCTTCCCACACCCGCCTACAACGCCGGAGGGTTCCGTGCCGGGTTCCCGCCGACCAGGCATCCCCCGCCCTGCACCACACCCCAGGGGGTGCAGCAAGACGGGGGGCGAAAAACAAACACATATATATTCCCACAAAAAAAATAAAAATCGAAGGACAACGTACACCAGTACCAGGTACTACAGCAGTGCAGTATGCACCAGCGCATTAGTGTAGGGTAGGCACCGCACCAAAGAGGCAGCAGAGGTGGCAGGCAGCCAGCAAAGGAAAAAACAAAAATAACAAGGAGCTCGAGGTATCGTCCAAGATCATCGTAGAGAGGGCATGGAGAACAAGAAAGAAAGAAAGAAGAAAAGCACAAAGAGAGGCCGGAGGCAATACTAAGAGCATACAGCTTACGGCAGGGAAAAGGGAACACAGGGTGCGACAACATCATCAGTTGGGTACGTCGTTCGCCGCAAGCGCGGCCTTGGCCGCCCTACTCGCTTCTACAGCAGTGTCCGGTCGCCGTTTCTTCCCCCCCCCCGCCGCTTCCCCGATTCTCTTTCTCTTCGGGCCCGGGGCGGCCGTGCTCTCCGTCTCTGCTTCCTCCGCGCGCTGGCGCTGGCGCTTCGCGGATGCTTCCGCCTCCTGTCTGTGCCATTTTGTCATGAACCATGCCGCCCCGTCCTCGATCTTGTCGTACCACGCCTCCTGGTCCTTGGCGCTCTCTTTCCATCTCCCCCCCTCCTTCTCCTCTTTCATGCCAAACGCCACGAGGTCCTCTCCTAGGCGATACACCCAGTCGCTCTCCTGCCCGCCCCGGTATCCGGTACCCCCCGCCATCGCTCCCAGCAGCATGCGCTTGGGGAGGCGGTTGTCCTCCATGCGCATAACGAAGCCCGCAAAACACAGCCTCCGTTTGCGCACGGTGGCCTCGATGGTTTCCTCGCAGCCGGCCTGGATGAGGGCCTGGGCGTAGGACAGGGGTCGGTCTGAGCGCTTCCGCTTGCTCCAGCCGATACACCGTGTCAGGAACTGGCGGTGGGTTCCATTCAGCTTGGTGTAGTGCTCCGCTACGGTGTCGTGGTGTGGTCTCGCGCCTTTTCGGATCCCCAGGAGGTCTGTGGGTGAGACTCTTCGGCACAATTTTTCATAACTGCGGCTCGATTATTAACCTGGGCCAATCAACGAATGAAGTGCAAGGTGGCCCTCATATCACGTTTTCACGTCTTCTTGTGCCTCTCAACTATCGGTACAAGCTATATCGGCACCTGTCGGGCTACCTCCATGCGCGACCCTCCCGCGCGAGGCCATCTCCTCCTCCTGAGCTAGCGATGCCCATGGTGAGACGCGGGGGGGGCGCACATACGTGTAGGATTCAGACGGATTCAGACCACCGCCGTTCACGCACATATCAACCATCTCCGCATGTATCAACCATCTGCCATCTGCAGTCAGAAGCCGATAGCGACACAAGAGCCGACTCACGACATTGCTGAGGGTGTGTACCACCAGTACTCTCAAGAGGAGGAGCGTGATGAATAGGATGTGCGCCAAATACCACCTCTTCTTGTTGTCCTAAAATTGGGGCGCGCAGCAGCTACTGCTGTTCTACTGCTGTGGTGTAGCAGATTTCGAAGCGTAATACCGGGTGATCGCAGGTACCAGCAATAGTAGTCTCTACAACTTCTCCCTCATCTCGCCTCATGTACTGCAACCAGCTGCATCACACTACTGTACCTCCGATTGTAATCAGTTTAGAAACGACACAGCACCGACGTTCCTCAACAACACTTGCTGCTTGCGTACGGGCATCCCTCGTGTGTTTCGAACTTTCGAACAGGTGGTGGGTGAAAAAATTATCTTTATACACTATTTTTGTGTGAGAAAGTGCGCAGATTGATAAGAGAATCGGAAATCACCGACGACATATATAATTGCGACAGCTAGCTGCAGACTGAACTAATATTGCTGTGTAGCTGCGCCCCTTTCGATGTTCCCTCGAGGGAAGTGGCATGTCAAAACCTGATCACGTGTTCCTTGAAAATGGGAATCTTCGGCATTTCTTCGCAGTCGCGCACATGCTACGGAGCTGGTGCCGTCAGGGAACATGAGCTAGGCTTCGGTACATCGAGATTTCTGTCCCAGGAAGCTTTCGTTGGCTACAAGGCTTTACTGGGGGCCTACTTCCTTTTCTGGGCGGTGTACTGGCCGAAGTTCGAGGGCTTCTCTCGGCAGGCCATACATCAGCTGACCTTTTGGACGTGGGATGTCTGCACAGGATGTGGGTCCACTTGTTACGGATCGTTTGGCAAAGTGTTTGCACGAGCATTGTCAGGCATTGATCTTCAGGGTTTAAGAGGAAACTCAACTTCGATTACCACATTATGTACAGCAGAAGTCTACAGCAAGTATTTTCTAAAATGGGTGTTTCCTTGTTTGCACGGTAGAGATAAAGAGTGCACCAAACAACAGCACAAAGTATTCTCACGATGTGTTTTTCCAGTAAAACGAAGTAAAAGGGAGACCACCATCAGATACAATCTGTGGTACCTTGGGGGACCTTGAATCACCTCGTCGTCACAACGACTTTTTCTCCTGGCGCTCGAGGGAAAAAGAACACAGGGAGCTAATCATCCAACCAGTTGACCGATGTTTTTTTTCTCGTGGAGGGAACAATGTTGTTCCTGTTTGCTTCCGTTTGCTTCCGGCAAGAACTCTGCTTCCTATGGAGTACTACGCAATGATTGGTTCTCTGTCGATGTTGTTGGTGGACTGCGCAGGAGGGGTGGTGCTCGCAAAAAAACTCTCCCCTGAACTCAACAGGGGGGGAGTAAGACCTCAAGAAGAGAGTACGGCCAGCGCTCATGCCTACTTACCCGATCGACCATGCAGCAGCCATGGCGGTCGATCTCTCTCAGAACCGACGATTCCAGGCCCTTGTTGACTGCACCTTGAAAAAAAACAGTTGTACGTTCGTCGGGTGTGGAGCCGGCGCATTTCTCCGAAGGTATCCAGATGGAGGGGGAGGGGATTCTCGTGTTGGTGTCGATCTTCATTTCCCCATAGTAGAGCGGAGGGAGGGAGGTGGGGTTTCGGCTTCTCGAAATCCCTCGTCCCCCTTTAAACAAAAAGGAAACGACTAAACGTGCATCACATAGTAGTGAGCCCCGCAGTGCTGTCCGCGCACATTGGGGGCACGAGATAAACGGGCGTGGTGACCTCGACAGCGACGATGATATGAGGGCCGTCCGATTTTCCCTATGACCTTAAGACCTCAACGCTGCATCCAACCTCCCATTCCCAGTCAGTCCCGTCTCATCTCGGTGAACCCTGCGTCGCGCTCTTCCAGACTTCCTTGTTTCCACCGCCACGGCATTCATGTGCTTGAGAGCCATGGAGAGATACGGAGGAAACGCGGCGGCAACGGCGTTAGGAAGAACTCTCTCCATGCACGAGCTCGTGCGAACGCTTCCCATGCGCGAGCAGCGAAGCGGCAACGGCACCGTCAACTCGACAGCACCAAGTGCTGCGATGGCACCGTCGTCAACAATACCGTCCGCGATGACAGCAGCGGCGGCGGCAGCGGCAGCGGCGGCATCAGGAACGGCCGTGGCGGCAGGAGGGATGGTGCTAGATGGTAACGTCCAGCCCCCGGTGCCGCGTGGGTTGAGGTGGCTCCAGCTCGTGCTGTGGAATATCGCGTGCATAGCCTCCCTGCTCGTCACGTTTGTCTGGGCTACGGAAGACGTGAGCGTGGGTTTTGGAAACAAGCATGGCAATATAGAAGCCGAAAGCAAACCATTAGACTAGTCAGCGGCTGACTAGTCTATTGGTTTGATTTGGCTTCTAAGAAAGTTAGTCGTGGGTCTACTGTAACAACGCGTCATATCGATGTAGGTTTGGCCTTTGGCACAGATGTGCACACGTCGACAGTAGCATGCTATACCCCCTGTCGAGCTTTGGAGCATTGTCGTCCACCCGCCTTGTTAGCGAGGGCCAACCCACCGCCACTCTGAGTGCCACCACCGGAAGTTTAACACTCAGGACGAACGCCCGTGTGTACCGCGGGCACCCGCAAGAGGGGTAGTACTTGTACCGAGAGCAGACCTTGTGCCCTTTTCCTGGAATGGAACGGACGCCGCAAGCAACCGTCGATAATCGAAACCCCATCATTTTTGTCCTGACAATCGGTTGTGCAAGGAACGTGTGCGCCGTCCTGCCCTAGTCTTTCCAGGCCCGAAACCTACCGAAAAAACGTGCTTTTCCCTTCTGACGCCGCGCACTGCACGCGCCCACCTTCTCTTTCACGCGGCGTTCATCACGACGCTCACGGACGTGGTCAATATGTGCAGTACGTCCGACAAGTTCGGCAGGGCGTCAAGAACTTCGACGTTCAGGCTCACGGCCTGGTAGCGTTCTTCATGGTGAGAAGTATAAAGCTTTCGGGTTCCCTTTTCCCCCCGAATATCGGTGCCAGTAGCTTTCTTCTCCCGGCGCTGCTGTGGTTTCAAGCGAGCAAAACGTGCCGGAACTGCGCGAGCGATCGCACCCCCCCACCCCCCCCTAGATCGGGTTTCATAGCTCGATCCTTCTACAACCAAGAGGGTGCGACAATCGGCCGATATCTCTTCCAAGGAAAGCTCTCGAATAGATGTTAAACATTCCCCACTTTCTTCGGCAGCAAAGTGATGCCCTCTCGATTGCAGACCACTCGAGCAATGAAACCGGTCTCTCCGGGGGGGGTGTATTCATAGTCGTGCACGCGGTGGTAGTCAGACAATTGACCTCGCAGCCCTACAAAGCCGGGACGGAGCACGCCGGGTTCTCACCGGACCAGGCTCCGGGGGGGGGGGGATCACTCCCACAGTTACGGTTCGTACCACAAACCTCTGACTTTTGAGCGCGCTTGCCGGTGTCTTCACGCGCTTTAATCGCCCGCGCTTGCACAACGCTTGCATGGTTTCGTCGGTGTACTCGGAGGTATGCCGCGCAGGCAATTCTCTGAGGGGATAGGGTTGGCGTGGGCGGGGTCATCGTGAATGTATGGTGTGTGCCGTGGCGTGCTCCTGCACTTGTGTGTGCGTCTCCATCAGGGTTCAGAGTTCCCTTCTAGTGGGAGCGCTTTGTTGTGCTTGTACGTGTGGACGCGCGCCTGTGGAAATTGATCAAAAACATCATGCTACGCGGGAAAACTCGTTTGTCTGACAGTCGTCATCCTCGTTTCCGCCCGTCGTTTATCTTCTTGTTCGTCTTCTGACGATGACGAAATCCAGCTCGTGGATCAGCTGCTCATAGCAGACACGTACAAGCTGGGGCATATGATCTTCACCCAGGTGAAAAAAAAGTACCACCTTGATCAAACTCGACCGAACCTACCGGGGAGAAACGGTTGACCGGTCATGATTGGCTAGTCCCACCTCGCTAATCAGGGAACACCATTGCTCTCCTAGAATGCCCCCCCAATAACAAGCCAAAGAGAGTGTACCGAGCGCGAGCTTTCTCTTTTTCGCTAGGCGGGGGAAGAACGCAGATAACCCCGTCAAACATCTACAGCTTCTCCGTGGGAATGTCGTCTCGTTAAACTGTGCCTCACCGCTGGATGATACAAACGTACAAACCGATGCGAGGGTCAAGAACTTTTTGCAAGTCGAAAGATGTTTCGTTCGCTCATCTGTGTCTCGCGGAGGTTCTTGCTCCTACGAGCCTGATGTAGAGACCTCGGGTTGTCATAACTCATCAGCGGCAAACTGTATTTTTTGTCAATGCTCCGGGAGGGGTGCAAATTGAGTATTCGAAGTCCCCCCACGGAAGGCTTCCTGTCCCCGGCAGAACTTCTGCAAGATTTTCGAGAAGATTTCCCCTTCGCGTGCGTGCCATTGCTTGATTATACTGTGGTGGGGTTCCCTCTTGTGACAACCCAGCTCCCGCCGACGTACTCAACATGTGCCTGCGGGGGCCCCTCGTCCAAGCGACCCTGTCCACACGCGACCCGTACACTCCCCTAGGTCTCTCGTTGGTCTACTTCGCTTTAATTTGCTCAATAGGGCAGAGCTTCGTGTACCCTCTTAATCTATCGGAATTACCCCGCCGCCGCACCTCCCCGCCTGCGCCTCTCTCGCCCAGATCTACGGGCTGGTATACCTAGCCTTTTCTGTCGTTTGGTTCTACAACGGCCCGGAAGATGAGAAGTATCTCTACGAGGACACACTCGATTGGGACGAGAACAGGCTGCAGGCCTGCCTGTCGGGAGGGGTCGCCGTAGGGGTCCTCGTACCGATCGCCGGACTGCTGCACCTGGGGGTGTTCAGGTATTAGACCATCTGCTGCTGTTACTGCGTGTAGGAGAAGTGGGGGGGTATCCGGTTGTTCTTTTTTTTTTTGGTCTGCGTTCAGACATGCGTGTTGCAGGCGCCGCTGTCATCGCGTAGGAGAAAGGGTGTCCAGTTTTTATTGGCCACTCTCCGTCCAGACATACATGCCGCAGGTGGCCATCTCGCGTTCGTTGTGCTTGCCTGCCGTTGCGAAGGATTTTGATCTTTCCGTGCACCTCGTCCCCTTGTGCGTATACAAGCCAAGCATCATTGATGCATGCTTGAGCGGGATACTTCCGACAGTTTCGAGAACGCCGCCTTCCACTACGAAGATGAAACCAGCGTCAGAAGCAACAGGTTGTGCTTGTAGGAAGAGTATTCGATCGCCCCTCTCTCTCTTTATCTGTCCCTCTCTTTGAGCCGGGGGCGTGAGAATCGTAAACCAGGTCAAAACGAACCCACATATCAAAGAAGCATGACACCTTTCCTTCGTGCATGACGTGCGTGTGCCTCTCGCTGCTCGCATTGATTCATCGATCATCGAACATGCCTCTAACTACAACATCCGTGTCCGTTCGGATATACACGTTCACGATGCACCCCCGATGGGAAAACCCGTGCCTCATACAAAATGCGCAGGCTGCGAGAAGCACTCTACCGGAGGGTTCGAGACAAGGAGATCGCTACCCTGAAACGAGAGCATTCGTTGGCCACGGAGGGCGCTTCTCGCCATTCGCTACGGGTAGCTGCAAGCAGCGTACCGCTATGAGTAGAGGATCCCCTGCATGTTTTCTGCATACCAATGCATGCGGTTTTGTTGACGGTGCAATGGATTGGGTCTTGATTGGGAGAGGCTATCATGGCGATAAGGTTGACGGGACGAGGATAGACTTCGGCTGCAGGTATCTCTCGGAGGTGTTCGAAACGTGTATCTATCTACACTCCGATTTTGATAGAAATAATGAGTTAGCGCGACCGGTCGCACTTTCCGAACGAGACCGCCGAAGGAGCACAAAACTGTTGTAAGTCCCATCGCACATAATTCCTTGTTATGCTACCCCTGGTTCCAAGGTCTTCGGTCGATGCGACAAAACGATCTCGGCGCGAGAAACTGCAAGTCATAACTCGACCTGCCGACGACGTGGTTGAAGAAACGAGCGCGTACCGGTTGAGTACAGGAACACTCGATCACTTTATAGGCCGCAGGTTTTTGTGAGAAGCATCTATTCGGTTGGGCACTCACTCAAGGCACGGAGTGTATACATGCCGCCCTCTTGCCAATCACACACAACGACGCTGTCAGACCTGCCAATCGCCACAAAAAGAGATCTGCTTGAGGGTTGTATTATTAATAGGGTCCTACAACACCAGCGATGCCAACTATCCACAGCAAGCGTCGTTGGCGGGGATAAAAGTGCGGAACGGACCCCCTTCGTTTCTGGTGGGTGGCCATATGTACCAGCCGGTAGCATGTGTAGAGGCGCCGGGGCTGTACGGTCTTCTACCTAGCGAGGTGTGCGAGGATAAAGCTTGGCCGCAGGCCATCTAATAATATCCCAACAGGAGTAGTGTACAGTAGTCTCGACCATTAGTCTAATGGGGGAAACAGCAGCTTTGTTTGTGGGGGCTCAAAGTTCTAACTTGTCCAGAGAGGCGACACCAAGTAAAAACCAAAATACAAGAGCAGTATAGAACACCAAGCACTCCTACTTCGGGAGGAAGAGATGAATTTCGTTTCCGATGTGAGATATCCTGAAAAAATATCTGGGGCGAAAAAAACTCAAGCTCGGAGTCAGCGACGCAGCTTGTTTTGTGATCGAGATTCTACGCTTCTGTCCGCCACTGCGGTTGGACTACTGTAAGAGGCATATATGGACTTAACGACGGGACGCGTCAAGCACAGCGGAAGGCACGCGATGCATTCCGCAGGCGATGACGCACGCAAGCAGGCAGGCGGATTCTGCTAAAGTCGAACATAAAATAAAAGTAGGCGTTTCCTCTTTCAAGGTCCCGCCTGTGTCGCGCTATCCGTGTACATTTTTGAACACTCCCATCTCTTCAGCCTCATTTTCCGTTCGGATTTTCGGGATTTCGGGAAACACCACACACGCACTCGTACCGCGCTGCACCGTGTTCCAGGATACAACATCTCCCTCGCTTCCGAAAGACAGAAGAACAGCAAAAAGGAACGGAGAAGCACGGGCAGAGGGCACTTCACGAATTGACGTCATCCGCCCGCATGTGCTTCCTGAACTGTGCACAGCTGCAACAGTGGCAGAGAGACGGCGTCCAATGCGCGTGACATTTTTGAAGAATCATGACATCCATTGGCTGACGGATTGGTCGGAGAGGGAGAAGCTACAAGTACACAAAAACAAAAGCTGGTATGGCTCCCTTAGCCAAGGCGGGCCCAGGGGAACGATGTCGCAGGCGGCGCTCACTACGACCATGCTGCCCCGTGCGTACGGACGATGGTCCTCGCCTCAATCTGGCGGCATCTCAGCGGGTGAGCGCCAATATGTATGGTTGACACGAAAAGTGTGTGGAAATTTCAGCGTTGGAGTTTCGGGAGGTAAACCAGTGAGCCAGTCTGAGACGCTGAAAATAGCAGTAGGTCGGAGCTGGCCAGCGACTCCCATCACATGTCCTTGCTTCGTCTCGAAGTGTTGGGTGGATGGTGGCTGTTTAGAAGCACGACGTTGAGTAGCACGGGAACCACAGGCGGGTTCCGAGCTAAAGACGATTATTTTTTGGGGGGGGGACAACTTCTTTCCATCCCCGCTTAAAGTATTGAAAATTTAATAGTATCATTGCATGCCCTAATAATGACGATCTGCGGGGAAAAAAAAAATGTCCGTGGTGCCCGGGTTTCAACGAGTTTTTTTATCGATTTCCCACGGCGAATTCGCAAAAACGCAAAAAGCGGGGATGGCCGCTAAATGTCCCCGGGATTGAAAAGTGCTCAGATCGACCTGAAAATATCAGGTCATGGTAATTTTCAGGGTATTCCTCGGGAACGGTTTTTTAGGCGGGAACAGTTTTGGCGGTACCGCAAGATGGCGGGAACTTT